CCCGCCGCCGGACTGCAGGCCTCCCTCGTGCCCGCGAGGCCGCCTCCGGCCCGGAGGCGAGGCGCGGCCTCCGCTGACCCTGGAGCGGGGTCCAGCCCCATCCCAGCGGGGATCCTCCGGCCCGGAGGCGAGGCGCGGCCTCCACTGTAATGAGCGCGGGTGGATCCCGGCTGCGATCGTCCCGGCACCTGCTGTGAGCCAGTCCGTGGGCTGGCAGGACGGAGCTCTAGGCTTCAGAAAGGACGTGGGAAGGGAAGGAAGAGAGAGGTGCGGGTGACAGGCCATGGGTACTCCTCCCCTGAACTGTGGAAACAGCTTTGAAATCCAAGCCTGCCCCTCAGCTGTGGGAATGACATCTTCTCAGGCTGTTGTGAGAATCACAAGAGCAAGGAATTAACAGGATTTGGAACCAGACATACGAAATTTAAATCTTTCTTTCTTTGCATTCGATGGAAGAGACCCTAGGACCTAAACTCTCCTGGAGGGCGTGAGACTGCACTGTGCCAGGGCAAGGCAGGCAGGGGCACTCCGAAGAGGCCGGCCACGGGCAGCGGGGCAAACCCTGCTGAGGAGGATATCGGGTTTCTTCAGAGGTACGGGGCCAATGGCCATGCAAGAGATTGGGATAAACAGTGCAATCACAAGAGGGTAATTAGTGGATTTTTAAAATAAAGATTCTAACTGTCCTGGTGGTTTGGAGAATGGAGATGAGGCAGGATAGAAAGAAGTTAGGGAAGGGTCTTGATAAGTGGTACGAGGAAGTAGGAATGGACATGACTGGCAGACAAGCTGCTGGGTCCTCTCACCAGAGCCCCCACCTCCAGGCATGATCAAAGGGAATCAGTTTATGGCAGAAAATTCCTCCGGTGGTCACAGAAATCAACAACACCTGGCTAAAACCAGGTCAATCCAAGATGGAGGAAAAATTGACCAGAAAAACGACCCCATTCATTATACCATCATTAAAATGAAAATTGACACCACAAGTAGAAGGGGGCTAAGAGGGACAAACACCATGACACTTCCAGGACAGACCATATTAGGAACAAGACCCCCTCCCAACTACAGGACAGAGACAGAATTTGGCACCACAAAGTTTAGAACAATCCACCCTTGGAAACACAAAACCCCAAGGCCTGACTGCAGCATGCAACTCATGAGTTCACCTGTGTCCAGGCGGACGTCTGCTTTTGCTGCTTTCGCAGAGGAGCCCTGTGAGACTTGCAAACGGGAGCAGTGGGGGGCGGCAGTTTGTCCTGGGCTTACCCCAATCCTGTCTCCAGGAACCCACAATGTGACTTTTCTATCAACTTAAATAAAACTTGCTTTTGCTTTCACATGGACTTGCTCTTGAATTTTTTCCTGTGTAAAGTCAAGAATCTGCAGGTCACAGAGTGCTTAGGGGCCCCATTTCGGGTCTGCCTCCAGTGACAGAGAGAAGCGGACTGAACACACGGCAACATACTGAGCCCCAGAAGGCTGCAAAGAGGTTTTTGTACAAAAGAAGCCAATAATCTAGTTAGTGAAGCAGGATACACCTTTGAAATAAATATAGTCTTAGTTAAAGCAATGTGCTTGTTAATGCAAACGCAGCTCCAGGAGAGCTCCCCAGAGCCCCTTTTTACCGGCTGGCTGTTCCTTAGGCCCTGACTGAGAGATGTAAAGCAGCACAGATAGATGTGCCTGCCTTAGTCTTGGCTGCCTTGCATTTTGAGGACTGCCATCTCACCAATCTCCATGGCTCTCTCCAACTCCAGCACAGTTGGTCCATGCTGGTGGTGGCGGAGAGGCACCCACAAGGGAGGTTGCTTTCCCCACCAAGCACATTAAACCCAGAAAGAGGGGAAGAAAGAAGTGAACCTGCAGCAGTCCAGTACTCTCTTTCCCTTGACTAATGATAACCCAGAGATACTGATTTCCCTTAGTGAATGCAAGATTTTTTTGGGCCAGCCTTTGAGACACTGTAACTTGCTGAACATGGCGGGGAGTGAGAGCTCACACAAAATAAGAAACAGCCTGGCACAGCTGCAGAGCAGGGGCTGAGAGCCCTGGGTTCTAGGCTTATTGTGCTAGGTGAGCTAGGACAAGCTACCAGCCTGCTAGGAGTCTCAGTTTCCCCATATGTCAAAAGAGGGAGTTGAATCAGAAGACTTCAAGGCTGCTTATTTTCATTATTCTATGTAGGAGAGGCCAGGTCTCCAAGCCTGAACGTCCTTCTTGTGCTTGAGCCACCAGGGGGCCCTGCCGGTGCAGAAACAAATGAAAACAGGTGTGTCCTAAGCTTGCTTCCCGGCCATGCTTCTTCTCAAACGTCCAGACTCAACAACTCATTAGGACGTTGCAAGATTTGTTTGTAATATTGAAAACTGGGGCTCACTTGAAAGCCCATTAATAGTGGATAATGAATCACTAAACATCAGTCCATGGGACATCACACAGCTATGAATACAATTGACCAGGCACACCAGGCTGCTATGAATACAATTGAAGTGGATCTTTAGCATACAAATGTTGGGGAACACAATTCAGCCCATAACATTTGGTTGGGATAGTGTCTTCAAGGTTTTTCTAATGTCAAATTACTCTTTTTCTTTCTCCATACTTTAATCTTTGGAAATGAGTGACTAAGTCCAGCCTACAAGAGGAGGTTGTGGAATTCTTTAATTAAAAACAAACACGCAAGCAGAGTTTTCTTGGCACATTCTTCCCATGTGTTCTGTGTGTGTGAGCACTGAGGTGTGGGGACTGTGTGAGCCCTCTCTCCACACTGAAACCCAGAAGGGTTTACTGCAAAGCAGAGGCTCAAT